GGTATGTTGTGGCACCAAAAACCTACATCCCTTAAAATTGGTATACTGAGCTACTGAGTCCCAATTTCCAGACAGAAGACATTAGAACCAGAGACCAAAATTAATAAATATAAATAAATAAATAAATAAATAATCACAGAATAGAATTAAGAAAATGGCTGAAGTTTTGGGTTCAGTGCTTTTGAATGTTTCCAAAATCTACTTCTAACCAAGTATGAAAAGCCTCAGAGACCTTTATCAGTCAATAAAAATCCAATTAAAATCTAGGAAGGGACATTCTTCCACATGGAGGGGAAAGGGTACCTTCTAGATTAAAAAGGGCTAAAGAGATGTGCTGGATAGCTTCAGTTGTCAACGTGACACGCCTGGGAAGAGGGAACCTCAAGTGAGGCATTATCTCTATCATGCTGGCCTACAGCCATGTCTGTAAGGTATTTTCTTAACTGGTAATTGATGGTGCCACCCCTAGGCAGATGGTCCTGAGTTATATAAGAAAGCAGGCTGAGCACAGGCCAGGGGAGTAAGGCAGTAAGCAGCATCCTCCGTGGTCCATGCTTCAGTTCCTGCCTCCAGATTCCTGCCCTGGCTTCCCTTTATGATGGATTGTCACTGGAAGTATAAAAAGCAATAATCCTTTCCTCCCTAACTAGAAGAGAAAATAACCAAATATAGTGGGGAAACTTGGCTCCTAGACTTATCTCAAGGCAAATGGGGCTAAGGACTGGATGTTAGTAACTGTACAGTTACTTTCTTAGAGTTGATAATAGGATGGCCCTATTTTTGGGAGATGCAGCAATAAAGCAGGAGATCAGCAACTTTGGGTAAGACAACTGCTGGCTTTGGGGGAAGGTTGAGAGGGTCATGAGGATGACTCAGACATATCTTCACATCCTCCATAACATCACCCTAGAAAAGTATCGAGGATCTAGAAACTTAGCTGGCCCTAGGTTACTTTGTCAAATGCTCAGAAGCAAGTGGTATTTCCTTCTGGGCATAAATACTGAATGCTCTTGAGGCCAGCTGAAAGCAAACCCAGGACTTACAATGGCAGCAATCTTCCCGCTTTTTCTGAGCTGCTGAACTGCAAAAGAATGGAGCACATCCTCCATGGGGGTGCCGTTGACCATGACCACCCTGTCATTTTCCCTGTAAATAAGAAATAAACACCAGTCACAAAAAAACTCACGCTGAGTTATTGTGAATGGTTTAGATAAAACAGAAGCAGCAAATAGACCCAAAATGTTTATTTAAAGGTCTTGGTGTCTGACAGCTCCCACGTTCAGCCAACTTGGTCCCAAGCTCTTCTGAGGAAAAAATGCAAGCCACATAGCAAGGAGGTCAAAAGCTTCCCTCATATTTTTTTGTTTCTTTTGAGAACAGGTCTCATGTAGTCAAGCTGCCCTTGAACTATGTAGCCAAGGCTGACCTTAAATTACTGATCCTCCTAGTCTCTGCCTTTGCCTCTTGAATGCTTATAGTAGCATGCCTGGCTTCTTTACCTCAGATTCTTTTTTTTCCTCAAAAAAGATTTTATTTTTATTTTATGTGTATGAGTATTTTGCCTGCATATATGTAAAATGTACCACATGCATGCATGGTGCCTGCAGAGGCCAGAAGAGGGCGTCAGATCCCCTGGAACTGGAGTTGCAGATGGTTGTTACCCACCACGTGGGTGCTGGGAACTGATTCCAGGTCCTCTGGAAGAGGCTCAGTGGCTTAACCACTAAGCCATCTATCCAACCCTGCCTCGGATTCTTAAAAGAAATTTTAAGAACACAGAATACTATTACTGTGGCTCATCACAAGTTGTCTTAAAATTTTATATTACCCTAAATGAAAGACTACTAACTTGGATAGAAGCACAGAGACTATAAATGCCAACATAATCCTTTTGAACTATCTGAACAATGTAGCCATATAGTTAATTTTGGATTCTTTCCTGCTGGCATGCATCTTTTGAAGAGGCTCTTCTGAATTTAAGGCTAACAGTCAAGAACTTATGTTGTTCTATTTAGAATTTTCTCACTATTGAACTGTGGGGGCTAGGGTTTGTTTGGTTGTTTACGGCTTTTCTGTGTATGCACGGTAGGGCGTAGGTGTTAGAGATTTACCTAAGGCCTTGTCTATGCTAAGCACAAGCTTCACCACTGAGGTACATCCCTAGCCATCTTCATTAAATTCCTAAACAATACAAATTCAGACAAATATAAACTATACTTGGTAGGTACTGGTGGACCATGAAACTTCATGATGGTCAGTCTGACTATCAATTTGACTGGATTGACAAGCACCTAGAAGATGAGTCTTTCAGAGAAACTTAACTGGCAGGCCTGGCAGGGATTGGGGAGGGGGTGAGGACTCACTGTAGCAGGCCATCCGCAGGTCCCCCTGGGAGCACATCGGAAATGACGATTGATGTTTCTCCATTTTCAAAGTGAGGGTTGTCTCTGCCTCCAGACACTGCAATTCCAAATCCTTTTTTGGAATCCTGATCATTGGAGTGAGAGAAGAAAAGTGCTTTTCAGGATTGATTACAAGCACTCAATAAAGTCAAGGTCAAATCAATAACCAGAGACAACCTGGGAATAGATGGGTTTAGGGGAACAATTGAAAAGTGAAATAAAGCAACATTGTGGTCAGCTGACAGGTTCATAAAGGGAAACTCCTTATCTAAAAGGGGTGGCCTTGTGGAAGCTGAAAAAGACAGGGGAAGAAGCAACAGTCTTCTACCTAGATAGGGGTATGCTGTTCCAAACACCAAGGAGACCTGTTCACAGCATCATGTCGGCCTGAGTAGGAACATCTTTAATAAAAACTGATTCTGTCTTTTTGAGACAGGGTCTCCCCGTAGCCCCAGCTGTCCTGGCACTCAC